TTTCCCTCTGATTGACCCTAAATCATCAGCAAAACCTGTTAAGTGCATCTGATTATTCTAACACAATTGTTTGGCGAGTGTTATACGTTCAAACAACAAGGCTATCAGAAGTGAAAGGCAAATATATGGGCCTTTTACGCGAGAACTTTTCAGGAATACAGCGTGGATAGATGCGTAAGAACGTTATTCAGGGATTACGGGTCGCAGAGTTTCGATTCTTCATTTACCCGATTAATCCAAATCAAAATAATGAAGCTCAGCTTTCCATCAGTAGTTTTACATATCGACCGTTAAGCTGCCCCCAGTTCAGTTGACCCCCAGGTAGATCCTAACCTGAAACAACTCAGACAGCCAGTTGGTTTTGGCTGGGGTAAAATGAAGGAAGTCCCTTACTTGTTTCAAATATGACCGAAGTCATCTTCTGTTTTCCACAGCCGACTTCCGGTCTATTGAAAACTGTGACAAGTCTTCGGGTGAGCCAAACACACTGATTTCACAAGTTTCTGACGCTGGAATATCCAAGTATAGACAAGCCTATCACAGAAATTTACATTGATGTTTTCTCTATCGATTTTGTGCCAAATCAGCAGATTTGGCACCTGCAATGGTGCGCATCCTTAAAGTTTTAGTTAAGGCAGTAAATAGAATGTCCAAATATCCTTACATAAATCTATGGACTGTAATGATGAATTCCTTGAAGAGATCGAATCTCAACGAAACCCGCTTGTTGCAATGGCACGTTAGTTGGTCTTTGGCAAATAATCTCCGCGATATATCCTGAAGTAGCTCACCTTCAAATGACCACTTCAGGCGTGCTAAAAGTTAAAGGCAGCGTGGTTATAAGGCGGAAAAGACGATGGATCAAAATAAAAGCCACATATGAGCAAAACTATATTTGCTGAGGCGTGATAAAATTTCGAGTGCTCTACTTAAAAAAACAGTATTAAATCATTAATATTAAACGGCCATGCTTCTTGGTGAGGTTTGACCTTTTGATCGGACAATTTGACGACAAGTGTATGCATGTATATATACTCCAGCTCGTACCACGTTGTAGCAGTATCCCGACCGATATTGGCTCATCTCTGAATGCCTTTCGGCTACGGACTTGTTACTATTCCAATTCCCGTGTTCGTATAACATTTACTTGTCAACGCGTATGACGATAAGATAAATAACCCTGGTGAATAATGAAGGCAACCCGCATCTTATGCCATCAGTGAATGGCAACTCGGTCTGAAGTGATGACATGACAAACGAGAGTAGTCTCCAATGGCTATCGCCGAAGTTGGTTTCCCCAGAGTATCGATCTGTTTCACACTAGGTCTTTTGATCAGTAGGTCAAAGTAAGGCATGGGGGATCACATCAGAAGCCGATTATCATTATTATTTTTATGCTATCTTCCCACTTATTCCCAAATAATACTCCTAAAACTGCCTTCTGTCAGCTTTTACGTTGAATGAAAATGACAGCCCGAGATTTTGGATCTGATTCACTTAAACCCTAAAAATAACAAACGCAAAAAAATCCTCGGCCATCTGTCTCTTCGGGCAAATTAGATACCTCCATAAATTGGTCTTAGTTGTGCAGCATAGAAAGCTGTTCGGAAACGAAAATTCTTATTATGGGCCACGGTCAAATGAAAGGTGGTTTGATGATGAATTATGTAAACGTTCTTAGTGTTGCAGTTCCGCTGTACTTCTGAAAGAACAAATGTCACTTCCGTGATTGATGGAAGTTGAAATGCGATCTTGACATTTTCCTGTTGATTTCTGGAATGGAGGAAAGTGAACGAGCATATTAGGATAAAATGGCTAGCAGAGTTTCTAGTTCACAAGAGTCAACTTTTGTAGCACAAGGTTTACTTGGTGTACAGACAGCAACGAATTTTCATGTATATACTACGGTCTATTTCATGCCCAGTGAAGACATAAATGAATTTTCCGTAATAGATTTGAGCTAAAAACTATCTTTACACTTCTGTTACAAACATTCAGACTCATTTGACTTTTGTACAAAATTCCGTTTACACCACCGACAGAGAAAAACGAAGAGAAGAACATGGACCAGCAACACTGCATCCGGATATCAATGTTATCTGGGAGAACATGGCTCTCAGAGACCAAATAATTCTCGGAGAAGAAACAGTCTTTGAATTTAGATCCATCAGTTCGGAGGAAGATATGACAAAGCTGAGCGATAGTTTGAAATCGTTCGCCGACAGACAGCTAGGAGGTGTCTGGCAGGTGGTGATTGTTGATGGTTCCTACTGGACAACTCAAACATTCCTACCGAATATGGCCTTCCAGTTTGAATTGTACGGTCGGGCCTATTTATTTTGGCAGACATCGGAAGATGAGCCAAACATCATCAAAACCTAGAATGAACACACATTTTCACCTATGTTATAGAACATTCAGTAAAGACAAAAACTAGTTTGTCATAATATAATAATTCCTTTTGCTACTGAAAACTTAAAAGACAACTGTTTTAATTTTCTTCTGCAGCTGTATACCAATTGAAAACCTGCCAGTGATACAATCCGTCTCATACAGGCTGTCTGCACGCGCAAGCATCACCTGAAAAGCCGCTCTGTTCCAAGACTTACTCAGGCTTGCTGACCTTGAGGGTCTTGATTGTGAGGCAAAAGATTAAAGCAACAAATACCGACTAAAGCGCAATTACAGATCTGTTGTTTGATCCGTCGGACAGAAAAAAATTTAACAGTTCAAATACAAACAGATTTGGCTGTTCAGCTGGCGGTGATTGAGTCCCTACGATTGGTGAAGGAATGTCTGTAAATAGATTGCAAGTCGCGACAGACGATCTAACACCCAGCGTCTCACGAATTCGATGGGGTACTGTCATCACCGAATTAGTTTCTGCGTGTCCCACTGGTCGACCCAAAATCACTGTATACTACTCTTTATCAGATAACGGAACCTCAGCTTCAGAAGAAGCACACAGAATCTGACAAACTTCACAAGTATCAGACCAATTATAACGGCATTCTTGAGAGTTGCAAGCACACATATGTTATATTTCACATAGGTTGGTAAGCTAAACGAAAACTAAACTAATCTAAATCGGTGCTAAGCGCTGGTTGATGGCATCTACGAAACCTAGCCTTGTTTCAGACTTGCACTTTCACAGGGGTAACTAACATCAGATGTTGGTGCCACCACAATGTACCCAAAAGGTGCAATTCCGATGGACCACTCTCAGACGCTAATGAGCGATATTACTGTGTAGAGCGGGTGAAATAGAATGCCCGGCTGAAGTTACTTGGCTCCCACGTTGGTGCAGCTTCTGGACTACAATGAGCTTGAACACGGCCTATAGGGTGTTGCAACCGACACAGGATCTGAACCAATTTCGGGAAGAGATGTTTGCAATCACCGGGGCAACGTAAACAAATAAGCCTCAGAACAAAACCCCTCAGATCTTTCCCAGAATTGTGAATCAATGAAAAGGAGAATGGTGCTATATAGGTATTCGCTTGCCACTTCCAGTGTCCGTAACGTCTTGACGAAGTCTTCTGTTTTAGACTTGTACCAGCAAGGAAACTTTCCCATTCATAAACCACTGAGGTTTCAATTCAGCCGACATTCCTAGCAACCCCTCAATCAGCCAATTACAACAGGAGATATCAGATATTCTTACAAACACTAGATAAACCCTAGCAGGTAGAGAAAGGCCATCCGTCTAACTGCAAGGTTATGGTATATCCATAAATGATGACAGAACGTTTGCAGACAAACCATTAGGCGTGGAGTCACTGAAACCAACAGGTAACTGATGCAATGAATTTGCAAATAACTTGAATAACTTGGATTTAAAGCGATGTTTGAGAAGATTGAACATCAGGCTTGATTTGAATTATTAGACACAACAAAATCTACCAATTTACCGACAGTATTTATGTTGTAATCCTGTGAATGTCACTTTGCTCAGATAATGTTTTGGTATCACACGTTTTTGTGAGGAAAAAGATCCAGTCACCGGCTTTTCATTCTGCTTGTATGGGATCGCATGATGTTAATAGATTGGAAATGTCCGCCATCAACCATTGAACGACATCTGCTCCGTCTAATGATTCGCGGCATAGATTCCGATTTGCCATGAATTTTTCTCATTAGAAATGTTTCAGAAACCGATCCTTTCCACAATATCTTTTATCTTTAGAGGGCTTGGAACCGTATGTATCTGCCCGAACGCAAGAGCACACGAGACGTTGTAATGTCAGATGCAAAGAAGTTTCATCAACAGCCTCGAAAACTTTGGTCTCTAATTCACACTTTGTATTTTCCCTTAACCGACTTCAAAGAATCACATTTCCACCAGGGCATTAGGACAGCTCTTCGTCTGATAGAATACATTAGGCTGTTTGGCTGTTGGACATCGCGGGCCTGTCATGTATTTCTGTCATGTATTTCTACATCCCTTTATGTTTCTAGAAAGGCTACTGTTGAAATTCGACTAGCAGTACGATCTAAACAAAAGTGGTAAGGAATGTATGTGGCAGAGCCAATCTTGAGGCTAGATAAGCTCACTTGTTTGAAAAAGTCAGGGACTACCCAAATCTAAAGACTGTGGGTTCGCACTTCATCCGAAACTATCCATTGGCATTTTGAAATTGTTCGGGTAAAGGCCACGATTAGATACAATAACTATACTTTCTGAAGTAATCTCGATTTCTTGTAGCGCGTTTAGCTTCTCCCAGGTAAATGCATGACGTAACTTGGAGTGAGAACCGACGAATTCACTGCGTGCAGTCGGGTAGGTTTTTCTTGCTAAAAAATTGTTGGTTTTGTTGGTTGGTAAGAAAGTTTTGATTTTTAAACAGCAAATGTAATTGCTTGAAATATCCTGCTCCATTTTAATCAAGTCTCTCAGCAGATGTTGTCACCGAGTTTCTAAAGAGAGATTCGATCATTAGTGGTATATTCATCCTATATCAAATTCTCGTTAACGTTTTCTTACGTTTTCAAAATATGTGCGAAATTGAAAGCCTTATAGACCTCTGCAATGCTAAAAATTTGTTGTCCCTCGTTCTTTTAAAGTTTGGTTTTAAGCACTCTCAAAATTTCTCCGCTTGTTTGTCCTTCATACCCATCTCCTGACTGGAATATTCTTACCTGAAAGTTTGTCACCAGTGCCCTTGTAACTTGTAGAGTAACTCATGCAAAAATTAGGTCCCTTTTCTCGAGCAAAGTTTTAGCATAGCAGTTCCAGTATTTCAAAACCAAATAACGTTTTAAGATATACCTTGCGTCACTTTGACGTCATATCATTCTTTAACCTGGTTCAAGGACCGTTAATTCAGTACCATCATGTCTTATACATGCACATTTACTCTATCAAAGTGAATGCGTTCTTAATCATGCTACAACTATCAGCTAATGAAAAATGAAACCATACCCTATCCTTATCGATTAAAACAACGATCGCCGCACACTCGCAGCAGAATTTCAGGATTATAGTTAGTTTCTCGGGATACGTCACATGTTGGAGGTACTAATAATTCCGAAATTGAAGTCAGCGAATTTACCGATTGTTAGTTTTTATGTTGAGCTCGACGAATGGCTCATAGTATTATCCGCAACCACATGGCCAGCATTTTTAACATGCGTTTGTCTAGGTTTTTTTAAGGAATATACGACATGTTGAAGTGAATATCAAGTATGGAGGCAGCTTTATGACGCTTTTATGAGTATACATATCATGTTCGTTTGGTTTGTTAAACGAATCCTATTGGAAGGTACTCGTTCTTAGTTTGCACTGATTTGCACTGATCTCTGCTCCACAGTATCTGATAGCATTGGTTGGTTTACCCAGTGTTCAACCCTCTACTGCTTGTCGAGGTCTTCGGTTTGAAATTTGAAAGCCTGTAGTCGCGATCAGTATACTCCATTCCCTCTGTGGTTTCAAACCCTTACTCCACAAGGTGTCGGTCGTTTCGCAGACTGTCGTTGGAATCTTCTGGTCCTTTCCGGAGTATGGATTATGAGTAATCATTTACCTAGAAAACTTTGTAAAATGTTTTGCCCACGAAATCGGCCATTTTGTTGTTCCACTGCATATCAAGTTGCTTGGAACTTGCCCGTATGCGTGTTTTTTTATAGGTTTGTTCTTTGTGGTGGGTAGTCCTAATTCGGCGTACGTCCATCACCTTTCTACATAATTCATTGTCCACTTGACAGTCTGTGGACGGGAACGTTCAGGGACATCAACCCTATTTCAGATTATTCCTCTCATAATATTGTAAACAGCTCTGTCTATCCGAGGGGATTTTGGAATGGTTGACAATTGCCCTCTAAGGGTTAGCGTATGTTAGCGAACAATCGTAGAGGAAATGTGACCGCTGTGGTACAAAGAACTGTCGTGAAATTGCGAGCAGATGAACAGTTAACACATCTGAGCTACCAGCACTTCACCACATTCCAAGCAACCACTAAGATGTCAGTCACAATCTCTTCCATCTTATCAGGACAAAACTCATATTAATAAACGCACAAACGAACACGATCAATTCCGCCTAGAAAGCAGTTTACGTATTGAAATTTAGGTTTTAGAGACCAGTTCCCATGGGAGCAATTTAGAATTCCGGTGGTTGTACGGTTGTACACGAGGAAGATTTGGAATGGCCAACTCTCAGAATGGTAGATCCTTTGGTGGCATTTGTACTGAATTATTTCGTAATGATAAACTATGCTGACATGTTCGTTACATTGGCCATCCACTTGTCTTGCAGAAAACCCAATTCGTTCCTAGTTGGATGATTCTTATGAAGAAAACACTATTGGCTTTGTCCAGTGTCAGCTGTGAACCATAATTCAGCTTCTGAGCATCTTTCTTCCTAAGTATATCAGATGTTTTACAGCTTGAATTAAGAAATATGCATGTTTATATATATCATCAGGTTGATTTAAAGGTTATATCCCATGTGGATCCGAGTTTAGTGGCCAAGTTAAGGGGGTAGTCTCTAGATGATGGTGCATATTATATTCTAAGAAGACGAAAGTAATGCCCAAAGACCAGAGGTCTATTCATCTTACGGAGAATGCATAAAATGCATTGCACAATGCTTTGATTGCACTGCGGTTTATACAAACACGAGTTAACCACAACTGTAACACTAATTGGCGTTTGCATACCTACTCGAATAGCTTATAAAAGAGTCAGAGCTGCGGCACTTCTAGCATATACAAGAATGATTAAGAGTATCGGATATAACTGATAAGTACAGCCTGAGCAGAAACACATATCGCCTAGAACCATGTTTAAATGATAGAAGGACATTTATTCTGGGTTGATCGGATGCGTGAAACCATGGAAGAGTTTCAGCTTAAGAATAAGTGAATAGACAGTGGGCGTGGTAAAGCGTTAGCATATCTTCGATGTATACCACCGGCAAAAGTGGAAATGGATATTGCCCCGAGAGAACGCAGTACTATACAAGCTTTTCAGTAAACGGTATTATTTTCCAATCAGTACTTGAGCAACCAACTCGCGCTCCCGATTCAGAACCCCGCCAGGCGTATAAATGCAGGAAAATGGTGAAATATATCGCTGCAAAACTAAGCTAGTTGACTAACCCAAAGGGATCAGAAGGGTTCAAATGGAGATCTAACCCCTTCACAGAAAGCCAAATTACCCAATAGAGGTTTTGTGACAAAATAGTCGTAACAAAACTTGTTACACTTCTTGACATTGTTTTAGATGAATGTGTTCCCG